TTTTTTTGAGATAGAGTCTCACTCTTGTCACCCAGGCTGGAGTGAAGTGGCGTTACTGGCTCACCACAACCTCTACCTCCCAGGTTCAAGTGATTCTCCCACCACAGCCTCCCGAGTAGTTGGGATTATAGGAGTGCGCCACCATGCTCAGCTAATTTTTGTGGAGACATTTTAGTGGAGACATTGTTTCATCATGTTGGCCAGGTTGGTCTCCAACTCCTAACCTCAGGTGATCTGCCCACCTTGGCCTTCCAAAGTGCTGGGATTACAGGAGTAAGCCACCACACCTGGCCATATTTTAATTTCTTTGCTCTCAATTACTTATTAATTTTTTATTTTATTTTATTTTGAGACAGAATCTCACTCTGTCACCCAGGCTGGAGTGCAGTGGCACAATCTCGGCTGACTGCAACCTCTGCCTCTTGGGTTCAAGCGATTCTCCTGCCTCAGCCTCCAGAGTAGCTAGGACTACAGGCGTGTGCCACCACACCCAGCTAATTTTTTGTACTTTTAGTAGAGACAGCGTTTCACTATGTTAGTGAGGATGGTCTCAATCTCCTGACCTGGTGATCTGCACACCTCAGTCTCCCAAAGTGCTGTGACTACAAGCATAAACCACCATGCCCGGGCCCCATTTCTTTATTTAAATTGTTATAATCAAATGTCTCCTTAGCAAAGTAACCCACAGAAACAGAGTGTACTTACCCAATGAAATCTGAGAAGTTATTAACACATTGCTTATTTGTGGTGTCCCAAATTTTAATAGTTTTATCCTCACTACATGACACAATTAGTCTTCCATCAGGTGAAAATCTAGAAAGAAGAAAGATATTATATGTGAAAGGCTCTGGAAAGTCACCACCTCACCTCTACACCACAAATAGATCAGGCTGTAAATATTAATACCAGAGACCGACCACTGTTACCATCCAACGCAGTAAAGTCATAGACTGCAGCCAAGATCTTCATCATGACAAACAACACTGACAGACCATTAAAACATCAAAATATGCTATGTAGACTACACAAGTTTCTTTTTCCTTTTATTCTTTTATTAAAATAATTTCGGTTTTAGGGCATCTGCTTTAGGGTTTTGATTCAATTCTATATCCACTCTAAGCCAAGTGCCTTGTTTTTTTTTAAAAAAAACTCTCTTCTATTTCTGTCACTTGCCAGAGTTATCCATATGATCCAAGACAGAGTCTTTATTACTCATCCTACCAAGCCTGCAGTGAAACTTTTTGTAAGAAAGGAAGGGTGTGTTGAGAATTAAAATTAAGTGACATCACCAACAAAAGAATCTAACTGCCCATGCCTGTAACTTCTTGGACTTGGGGAGGCCAGAGAGCTCCAATGGACTGAAAATAGGACAACTCATTTATACAGAACAGAAGTTCCTTCGTGGACAACCCTATCATCCACACACACCATTAAAAAGCAAATAAGAAAAATCTCAGACACCTTGTCTGCTGCTTTTATGCTGTCTATTCCTTTAAGATCCTTCCCAAAGTACTTTTTTAATTTTTTGGCCACGATGTCTTTTAAATATAAATAGAAGAGCAGAAGACTACAGAGAAAATGAAAACAAATTTTAGACTACTAGAAAACTGAGTAGTATTTTTATTATTAATATTTTAGCAGTAACAAAAACCAAAAAGACAGGTTTAGGTCACAGATTATATTTCAATTTTATTTGTAGTTTCCCTCTACGCCCAGAGTCAAGATTACTGTAAGTCATTAATTAAGGGTGTGGAATATAATTGAAGATTTTTCTTTTTGTTCTCTCCATACTCCCATTCTTAAGGCTGACCTAAAATTCATTTTTTTTGTGACAGAAACTTTGCATCTGGAGTTCACAGATTCACACAGAAAAAAGACACACAGAAGCATAATTAGGTTCCATGTAAAATAATATTTAAAAATTCAAGAAGGCCGGGAGTGGTAGCTCACGCCCGGAATCCCAGCACTTTGGGAGGCTGAGGCAGGTGGATCACCTGAGGTCAGGAGTTTGAGACCAGCCTGGCCAACATGGTGAAACTCCATCTCTACTAAAATAGTCAGGCATGGTGGCAGGTGCATGTAATCCCAGCTACGCAGGAGGCTGAAGCAGGAAAATCGCTTGAACCCAGAAGGCAAAGGTTGGAATGAGTGGAGATTGTGCCACTGCACTCCAGCCTGGGTGACAGAGCAAGACTGTCTCAGAAAAAAAAATGTCAAGAAAACAACGTTTCAAGGAAAAATTTTCCTTGCTGGGTAGTTTACTCTGATTTTATAGTAAGTAATAATTTATTAATATTTTCTTTTAGAAAATGTGAGAAAGACTCAAATATGAAGGGCAGTATTATAAAAAGTCTCCAAACAGAGGCAGCTCATTGTATATAGACCCTGGGGGAAAAAACTTACTCAGTATCCCCACGGATAAACTTGGCACAATAATGGTAAACAAACTGTCCAGGCATGGTGGCTCATGCCTGTAATCTCAGCACTTTGGGAGAACGAGGTGGGTGGATCATCTGAGATCAGGAGTTGAGACCAGCCTGGCCGACATGGTGAAACCCTGTGTCTACTAAAAAATACAAATTTCACAGGGCTTGGTGGCAGGCATCTGTAATCCCAGCTACTCAGGAAGCTGAAGCAGGAGAACTGCTCAAACCTGAGAGACAGAGGTTGCAGTGAGCTGAGATCATGCCACGGCACTCCAGCCTGTGTGACAGAGTGAGACTCTGTCTCAAAAGAAAAAAAAAATTATAAAAAACTAATGCAAGGAATCAAATTGTGTTACTTACTAAGCCTCTTTTTAAAAAAATATTACTTAATGTGACTGTTAAGTGACCAGAATATTTCTATTAGAAGACTTAACTCTTACATTTCAAGAAAGCAATTATGAAGAAAAATATTTAATAAAATGAAATACTTAGAAAATAACAAAGTATAAAAATATTCTATGACATCAGCCAAATACTACCTCCACCATCACATCATTATCCTACTCATATTCCTTGAGCACACATGTCCTAAAATGGTTCTTAATACATCTTATTTAATTTTCAGCATAACCCATCAAAACAAAGCAATAGCTTATCTCAATATACAGTGAAGAAACAGAGGCACATAAAGGATAAGTAACTGCCAGCGTTATCATGTCAGTGGGGAAAGGGGTCTGGATTTGAATCATGCAATCTGTTTCCACAGCCAAACCTCTGAACCACTTTGCTTAAGTCTCTGTCAAAAAGGAAAGTATCTTCTACCAGCCCAAATTACTTACAGCGCTGGAAGTTCTGCGTGGCTTCTGTGTAAACAACAGAAGGTTCTAAAGTGGAGAGGAAACACGAGGCAGTGCTGTTAGAAGGCTATATACCGTCCTTGAACAAAAATCTTTGTGTGTAGCCATAAGCTGTAGGTAATACAGGCATGGTCCCTGTCCTTGAGGAGTTTATAGGAAAGATTTTCACCCACTGATTCATTCAAAGTTTCCCTGAGCACTTGTCAATACCTCACACTGGGCACAGCCATGGGTAGTAGGAACATAGCTGTGAATGAGACTGGCAAGATCCCTGCCCTCATGAGGCTTTTGTTCTAGAGAGGAGGGAGGGCACACAAAAAACCTAATTTTAGAAAGTGATATGAAAAAGGGTTGTAACAAAACAAGTGCCAATTTGTCACTTGACGCTCCATAGAGGAAACAGGATTTTAAAGAAACTTGCAAATGAGGGAAAGCATTATCTTGGTCAGCTATAAGTGCCTCCTGAGCAGAAGGGTTCATAGCTGGGAGAAATTTCCCAGAGGAAAAGAAATGAAGGGGATGTGAACCTCGAATGAGTGAGTACAGGCGGTAGCTGGGAAGAACCTGGTGACAGAAGGAGGAGAGGTTTCTACCATCAACTTAACAGAAACTAAGGGGACTGAGGTTAAGGCCTTGCCCCTGCTCTGGTCACTGCATTATAATCTTGCATATGCTCTCTATATGAGTTTTTTGCATCTGGGGTGGCTGAAAGTGAGAATGATGATTTCTATTTCCTCCTCCTCCCTTTTATTTTTAATTAGATACATCAAAAATAGGTTAGCAACAAACAGGCTTCTCTTTGCTCTGATTAGGAAAGGTTAGTCCTTTATTGTCAGGTCTCAAATAACATCTAATTAGACTTTTAAGAATTTAAAGATTATATAAAATTTCTACTAAGACATTAATAGATTTCTGACTCTCTTAATTTAGTACTACCCAACCACCTTTAAAAACTTCTAGAAAGTATGTCACCAAGATGGGTATTATATTAGTCAATAGTGACTACTGAATTCAAAAACATGAGGAAATTATTTTTCTTTTCTTTTTCTTTCTTTTTTTTTGAGACAGGGTCTCACTTTGTCACCCAGGCTGGAATGCAGTGGCCTGATCTCGGCTCATTTCAGCCTCAACCTCCAGGGCTCCGGTGATCATCCCTCCTTAGCCTCCCAAGTAGCTGGATAGACAGATAGATAGATAGTACTTTCATAAAAGATTCAAATTTTCCTTTGGCTATTTCTTATCTTTAGAATACATATTCTTTAAAAACACATTCCCAGCACTCAGGGCGCTGGGACCAAACAGAGTAGGTACTATTTCATGTCCCATAAGACACAAATTATTAGTAAGAGAAACTGAAGCCAGCAGCCCTTCAGTAGGAACAGGAAGCAGTAAAAAGTAGTGGAAATAAGACTGCTCAGTAAGTATTCGAGTCCTGAATTCTAGCGCCAGTTCTGCAACTGTCCAGCTATTGAACCTTGTAAACTCACAACCATAATGACCACCATTTCCTATTTGTATAATGAAGGAGTCTGGATTGAATCAGCCCTAAAATTTTCACAGACTCATTAAAACTTGGCAGTCTCAGAGTTTGCTTTGATGGAATTTGATGTTTACAGGTTGAAGGTGAAGTTCAAGTCAATAAGCAAAACATTTACTTTTTTTAAGTGTTGGTCAGCATTAGAAAGGAAACCATCTGTTGACTACAGTAGCAGGATTCATTTCTGCAACTGCGGAGAGACAAAAAGCAGGTGAAAAAATGTAAAAAGATCAAGTGTGCCATGAAAATTATTTGTTGGGGAATTTCCCATCTATGTGCTCAGACTTCATTCCTAGAATCTCCACCCATGAGTACAACTGCTTGCTGGGCACCTCCTCTTGAATACCTTGCAGAAACCTCAAGCTTTAAACTTGTCCAAATGAATTCACCCTCTTCCTCCCAAAGAGGAAGGTTCTCTTCTTCTCCTTCTCTTTCTCCAGTGTTCTGTTTCTCAGTAAATGGTTTCTCAAGCCAGAAACTCAGGGGTCTGACTTGATTCCTCTTTCTCTTCTACTTCCCTGTTCCAATCCATTATTGGGTCCTGTCTCCTCAAACCACAATTGGCCCTGCTGTCTTCCACTATCCACAAGCAACAAAAGTGATCTTTAAGTCTTAAATCAAATTGGGTCATCTTTCTGCCTAAAACTCTTTCGTGGTTTCACATTTCCTTTGGGGAGAAGTGTGACATGCTCACCACTGCTCATAGCCCTCCAGGACCCGTCCTCCTGCCTCTTCGTTTTCATCACCCTCCTCTTCCTTACATTCTCTTAGGTTCCCTGTTCTTGTTCAGGTGTTTCCTCACATGCTGTTCCCTGTGCCTCAAACATTGCCCAATAGTTTTTACCTAGCTTAAAATCTATAAAAGGATTTCACACATCCTTCAAGCTCTCTGCTTCAGTGTCACTTCCTCAGGAACAGCCTTCCTGAACACTGTCACCAGTAAGCTAGCATCCCAGGAAGTGTTCTTGGAGTTGCCCACATCCTTATTTATTT